AAAACACAACAGATATATCATGAAACGTGGCTTCGTGGTACTTCAAAACATGAAAATAGCACGTTACTCCATACGGCATTGAATTGTGAATATAGTTATGTAAAATGTTTTACTGTCAACTGATTCGATCGTAATTTAACAGCAAGAATGAAAATAATCATTTTGTAAAAATCACTTTTATGTCCGAAATAAATTAAAATAAATGACCCTTCATGAAACAGTTTAGAATATAGCATGATTCTATGACGCTTCATAAAAAAAAGTGTAAACCCATTTTGACCATTATAAAGGATATTTTGGGCTCATTAACTTTTAAAAATGGACATTTATTATACAATGTAGTAATATTAATTTTAATTCCATGATGTTAGGCTTTTGTCTTCGCATAAAATATCTTCAAGCAACGATTAGATTGTAAATTTCTACTGATCCATGCTTCGTGAATTAATGAAAGGAAAATTATAATTGCGCCATCAACTGAAAGCTCATTTGAGTTTTTTGTTCAGGAGTGTCTGTCGTCATTTCCTTAACAATAAAATATGTTTTCTCGATGATCTATGCAAAAAATCATCGAGAAAATGTTTTTGGTTTTCTTTTAAAAAGACTTTTTAGTTACACATTTCTTTATGGTTAACTTTCAATTAGTTGTTAACGTAACCATTTTTTTCGACTTTTTTTTTTATAAAATATTATTTTAAAATTTAGTCTCAGTTTACTTTAACTTTATGTTTGTAGATCCATGTATTCGCTATTCGTTTATATTTAAGTAATTGTATTTTTTTGTATGTTGTAATTTTACTTAATTACTACTTACGACGAGACATGTCTTCAAATTCTCCTTCTTCAGATTTTGTCGTCTTCTCGAAGTTGGAATCATGTCAGCAACAACTTGTCTATCATTACTACTCCAGTTACCAAAATTTTCAATAATCAACTCTCTGTGTACGCTAATGCGATAAACTGATAATATTGCGATGGATTTCCTTCCAAGTATAAGACCAATATATACTTCGCTATCAGGAAAAATTGAAAATGAGCTAAGTGTAAGATTCATTTGATTTTCGATTTGATATTTGTCCCAACTTCCTTCTTCAGTAAATACAGATTCATTATTCGATTGAGTAAAAAGTAACCATTTGCGTGGTGCAGTGAAAAATTTACTTCTATTCGCCTGTAAAAAAAGAAAAAAAAGAGTGAGCCTTTGTAATTGATGGATCGTAATTGTATCTACGTTATTTATCTGTATATTTTTTTAGAAAATAGAAAGGAAAATGCAGTCAGCTAATGACATGTGCATTTTTTCTTTAATTTATTTGGATGAGGATGATATAGTCCAAAATCCACAAATAGAAGTATTGAGTAATGATTACTTAAATAGATCCTAGTTCGAAACAATTGATCGCCGTAATGTTTAAAATTCACAACTTTACTATTTATGGAGATTAAAGTATAAAAATTGATAAAAACATATAAAAAGACTCAATAAATAATGATGAGTGATTGATCTATACTACTATAGAAACTTTTGGTGTCTGTCTGTTTCTCTGTTCGGGGTAATCTCCGGAACGGCTGATCCGATGGCGACTAAATTCCGTAAACATGCAGAGGACATTGTGAGGAATGGTATAGACTACTTTTTATTCATGTAAATTGTTCAAAACAATTAAATTTGTTATAAACAGAAGAGAACAGGATCTATTTAATATTTTTGAACTTTTTCACAAAATTAATACTTATTAAAGTACTTGCAATCTATTTTGTTATTACTCTTCTACACTTACAAGGAAACCTCACGAGGTGGTCACCGTCGATTTAGCTAAGGTTTTTATATAATAATCTACGTCGAAAATGATGGACCACGTATTTTTTTCGGCGAAAAAAATTTTGAAGAGGTAAAAATCATCCGTAAAGTTGACACCCTATAAGGGTGATTTTTAATTTTCATATATTTCTAACTAAAATTCTCCAAAACGACCTCACGTATAAGAATATCTCAAAAACAACATAAAAATGATGAAAAATACCTTCATTTACATATTTTTAAAACTTGAGGATGTACATTTTTTTTTATTACAAACAACAAAAAATCTATAGCTGGAAAACTATTATTCACTTTTTAATGAGACCAATTTCAATCGAAAGAGCATAAAAAATTAGGATTACAATTTTGTCTTTACAATTTTTGAAATAACATCAAAATCGATGCCAAAACATATTTCCTTTTTTGTCAGGTTTGTATCAAGATGAAAAAAATGAATTATTTATTCATTGTCCGTATTACATACATGATAATCATTGTTTAAATGTTTGAAACACAGTGATTCTCTACACTATGCACAACGGATAATTGCAATATTTATACATCCTCGAATTTCACAATAAGACTTACAGTTGTTTTTAAATGCAAAATCAACTAGATTTCCAAATTCATCTGGTTTAATGAGTGTATAACTACTTTTAAACCATGACTGACGAAAAGATAAATGTATTGCCGAGACGAGAGTTGATTATGAGTCAGTGATTGTAATTTAGTAATATTATTTCTCACGTGTACATTTAAATCATCTCTTCGTAATAGGACACTGTATGAAGAATATGTTACAAAGTTCGTCCGTATTCTAAACTCAAAAACATCTAATGGTTGAATTTGTCCAGTAGCCTCTTTAAGAATAATCTTTATCTCAATTTCTGTATCCGGTGGTTTGGCAGATGTGACAGCTTCAGAACAATGTCCAGTACACGAATCAATCAAAAGTGAACTACTTTTCAACACTCGGAAAAAATACATTCTTCAACCAGATTTTAAAGTGTTCTGAAAAAAATTAGTCTATAAACTTCCAGAATATATCATATAATATAACATTTGAATTGAATTTTCTACCTGAAGTAAGTTTTCCAGATTTCGATATTTCTACGAGTACATTATCTGGTCTGAAATGTAATGCTTCTACCCATGGACCAAGTTTTCCAGTTGGTTGTTTTAACACAAGAAAAAAGGGAGCAAGAAGTTTTCCATCAGCTGATACCGTTGATTGGATAGTATAACTGTGAGTTGTCGAAGAAACTGATTGAACTATGCACTGCATTTTTTTTTTCTTCTGGAGCTAAAGTCGTCTCTGAATGTACTTCTAATTAAAAGTCACTTCAATCAGAATTAGATATGTTGTCTAAACGATATCCTTGAATTTTCGATTTAACATCGTTAACAAACACTTCTGGTGTTTGTTTTAATATTTTACGAGACGAATAAAAATTTTTCATTTAATAATTACATATTTTGCCCAGTATTTTATGTCACATTAATTAATTCTAATACTTTTGCAACGTTATTCATGTAAAACAACTTATTATTACTATAATAATTACTAACGATTATTTTGAGACGATCATCATAATCACGATAAGCACGACGAACTTTGGGAAAAATTCGCATGAACAACAGTTACGCATTTATTAAAACCACTATACCAACCCTCAATGGGATTATTAAAGTGTATATTATCTGTCAATACAGCTCGATAATAATTCCATAACTTAATATCAAATATAGGCTTCTTATATCACTGTGCTGGTCATAGTTTTATCTTGCGTAGCGAGTAAGTACCTAGAAACCTGAACTTAGTCCCTCGTACTTATTTCAGAAATGGATTTCTACATTTGTTCTGACTGGGAGGGGCCCAAGTCAGTTAGTCAGAAATATTCAAAAATTGTTAATGCCGGACTTGTCCACCGGCGCGTCAGTCAACTCACTGGACCAATCATCGGGAAGTTTTTCCCTCATGGCCCAGACGGCAACTCTACGGCCCTAGTGACGCCAACAAGCACGCGGTCGAGTACTTGTGGCGTCAGTTAGCTCCAGGCAAATCACGCGGTCAACTCTGTACAAGTTTTCGCAGTCAAATCGCAGATTTTTCAGTCAGCTCACCTTTTGTAGTTACAAGTACGGTCAAATAGACTCAGACAACTCTCACGAAGATACGTGAATCATCAAATTACTCTCATCAGTGCCAGTGGTCCAGTATATTCAGTTTGTAGTGTCGTTGGGCGCGAAGCTGAACTGGCGTCGACGCCATAGTGCCTCACGGACATTCACCTATACATCGCTCCCCCGAATAACTCTGGTGTATACTGTGAATGTTGCTATTCACTGTTTTTTGAGACTCTGTTATTTGGTGACAAAATAACCATCAGACAACTCAGAAGTGTATGAACAATTAATGTACAGTCAATTCACCTAAACTTAGTGATTAAGAATTTCTATTGTTTAAGTTAAGTGTTATTGTTGAATAAAAACTATAAAACTCAAGCAGTCTGTGTTAAAAAACTATATTTTTGAACCTTCTAGCATCCAACCTTTTGTTCTTATTCTGCTCTTAATTCATACAGTCCACTAGTTTTCAGTTTGCTCATTCGGCCGACTCGAAGTCAGAACATTTGGTCCTTCGAGCCGGATGAGAACGGCTTGGATGCATATTGAACAACTCTAGAAGGTTTTAGGGCTTCATAATTTTTGTGAATATTTTGTGAAATGCTCTGTATAAAGTGCTTGGAATTTAGATAGACTCAAATAACTTTCAGTGTCAGTGTGTAAACAACCTTACAGACAAAAGGTGTTTACGCATTCCAGTGCCCAGTGACACTCATCTGTATTATTGTGAGACAGTGGTGCTCATCTCACAACTTAAACAATTTCTTGAGACGCTTGGCGCGCAGTTTGGTTGTGTGAGAGTCAAGAGAACCTTGACGCAGTCAACTCACGTGTATATAAACATAGTTCGGTAATTATTGTAGTGTCCTTAGTGTAAGTTTAGTCACCTAAAATTATTATTAAGAGCTCGTAGACTCAGTTAATTAATTGTGTGATTCTTTTGGTGTTGAGACTTTATTGAAAGCCCACCATTGGCATCAAGGTGACAACAGACAACTCTAGCAACATTTTTTTTGAATTTTTTTAGTGATAAGTGTAGTTAGAGATATTAGACAACTCACTCAACTGAACAATGGCAGACAAACGTGTAATTTCTCCTGCCAAGTCGGACTACGTAGATGTAGCTGACGACAGCGACTCACTAGAGGGTATGGCCCAGGCCAAGAACCGCAGCCGACTCATAGCAGCCACCACCCGTCAACCTCCCAGTGAGATGACGATGTGCCATTTCCACAGCCGACTCCAGATCACACCCATTCATCTAAGCAGACTTCTCACCAGGTAACTCATCTTCATAGTCAACTCTCTGCAGTCAACTCTAATTATGTTTCAGTCAATTCTCCAAGTGGTGGTGTGACCACTCAACATGCAGACAACTCAACGATTAATGGTTATGAATCATGTCAATCTATATGTGCTGACAGGAGTAAAGAATGCTTCTCTGATGACTCGACGGAAAGGATGACCTTAGCACATGAGGTTTCGGCCTCAGGAGGGTTGAGGGTCCTGGAAGAAGAGTCAGAAGGTCTCGTTCGATCTCCTACAGCTGAAGAAAAGAGTCAAACTCACACTAGTCAACTCTCAGACGACTCACATGATTCAACAATCACCAAGAACAATACATACAACTCAGAGATTCATGGACGATTCTCTTCAGCACTTAGAGCAGCAGAAGAGACATGTATTAATGAGTCTTCAGATCAATCAGACAGCTCAGCAGTCTTACTCGCCACAGCCAATGCAGTATTACTCTCAGACTACTCTCAGCTTCCAGTAAGACTCCTGATAGACTCAGGGTCTGAGCTGACGTTCATCTCATCAAGTGTGATAAAGACTTGTCATCTCCAACGTCGTCCATCAGTAATATCAGTGCTGGGAATTGGTAACGAACCAGCTGTACAAACTAGAGGAGTGACAACAGTGACACTTAGATCAACTCACACACAGGAGCAAGTTACAATCAATGCTCATATCCTCAAATGTGTCACTGGTACTTTACCAACCAGACAACTCAAGGAACTCAACTGGTCAGCTCTCAACTCTCTGCAACTTGCTGATCCAGACTACTCAACTCCAAGACCCATTGACATTTTAATAGGAGCAGATTGTTATGGACTAATTGTGAAGGCAGGCATAAAACAATTTCCTGAGTCATCGCTAATAGCCCAAGATTCAATTTTTGGATGGATGCTCATTGGAAGTCCACACCCGACACGATGCTCAAGTCAGAGAACTCATCACGCAGCAAGGGTCAACTCATACCAGCAAGTATCTGATCTCTTGACAAAATTCTGGGTTCAAGAAGAAGTTCCAGAGACCTTAGCCAGCCAACTCAGCCCAGATGATCAATCTTGTGAAGATCATTATGTTACGACTCATTCAAGAGATCAAGATGGGAGATATATTGTGAGAATACCACTCAAAGCATCACCATCTCTTCTAGGCAACTCATCAGCGAGAGCTCATCAGTGTTTACTACACATGATCAGACGACTCACCAAGAATGACTCATATGCACAACTCTATCACAACTTTATGCAAGAATACGAGTCACTGAACCACATGACACGAGCCAAGGCAAGTCCAGTCAACTCTCCAGTGTATTATTTGCCTCATCATGGTGTCTTAAGAGAAGACAGTGTTACTACGAAGCTTAGGGTAGTATTTAATGGCTCTAGTCCATCTTCTAGTGGTCTATCAGTGAACGATATTCAACATACTGGTGCCAAAGTCCAGAAAGACATTGCAGACGTACTCATTTGGATCAGGCAGCATAAATTTGTGTTCACATCAGACATCACCAAGATGTACAGACAAATCAAAGTCCACCAAGATGATTGGGATCTCCAGAGAATCCTGTGGGTGGACGAGCACTCCAAGATCATCCCATATCAACTCACAACAGTCACGTATGGTACCAGATCAGCTCCATTTCTGGCTGTTCGCACAATGATCCAGCTAGTGAAGGATGAGGGTCATAAGTTCCCTCTAGCTGTTGATCCACTACTAAAAGGAAGATATGTGGACGATATTTTTGGAGGTGCTGACACCGTGAGTCAATTGATAGACATCTCAACCCAAGTCAGACAACTCTGCATGGCAGGTGGCTTCCCGTTAGCGAAATGGCACAGCAACTCACTTCAATTCCTTCAATCACTTACAGACAACTCATCAGAAGAGCAGATCCACTCATTTGAGAGCAGCAAAACGAAATTACTTGGGCTCTCGTGGATTCCAGCGAACGACTCATTTAAGTTCAACTCAAATCTCCTCGTGAGAAGTCCAAGCTCACACAGAGAATAATTTTATCAGAAACAGCACAACTCTACGATCCACTTGGATTTCTAGCACCCTTCATTGTCAGAGCAAAGATGTTGCTACAAGAAATCTGGCTAGATAAACTTTCCTGGGATGACCAAGCCCCAGATCACATCATCACCAAGTGGAACAGCTTCAGATCAGAACTCTCACATGTTTCAGACCTCTCAATTCCACGATGGTTACGGATTACTCAGAAATCGACCGTGGAACTTCATGGTTTTTCAGACGCCTCACAAGCAGCTATGGCAGCTGTTGTTTACATACGGACTACTCATCCAGATCATGGAACTCGTTCAACTATAGTCTGCTCAAAGTCTAAGGTTGCTCCATTGAAGAAGATGTCTATTCCTAGACTAGAACTCACCGCAGCATTGCTGCTTGCCAGACTAATCACTTATGTAAGGAACAACTTAGACATTCAGCCAACTCAACTCGTATGTTGGACAGACTCCTCAGTGACTTTGACCTGGATTCAGTCTCACTCATCCCGTTGGAAGGAGTTTGTAAGAAACAGAGTGTCAGCAATTCAAGATCTCACTCCAATCAGCGTTTGGAGGTTTGTACCTGGCAAACAAAATCCAGCGGATTGTGCTTCTCGAGGTATCAGCATATCCCAGCTTCGGAAGCACCCCCTGTGGTGGACAGGACCACAGTGGTTAACAGCAGACGAATCATTATGGCCAACTCAATCATCAGTGTACGATTCAAAAGCTCAGCAGGAAGAGCGGCCCGGGCTCACTTTAGTTACTCAGACAATTCAACATGATTATCATTGGGATATGATATACAGACATTCTCGGCTGATCAAATTGCTCAGAGTGACTGCAATTTGCTTCAGATTCAGCCAACTCCTCAGACGAGTACCGCAGTCATCTCTCACCTTCCCTCTCACGCCACAAGAATTAGAGAGAGCAAGGATTTTTTGGATAAAGGCAACTCAAGAATCGTACTTCTCACAGGAAATCAAGCAGATCAACTCAAATTCACTGCCCGTCTCACACCCCCTCGCACGATTGACAGCATTCATTGACACTCAAGGAGTCATACATGTTGGAGGGAGGTTAGCAAATGCTAGCTTGGACCAAGAAGCAAAGCATCCTGCAATCCTACCACAGAAAACTCATCTTTCCAGACTAATCATTGCAGATGCTCATGAAAGAACATTGCACGGTGGGACGCAGGCAACTCTGAACCTCATACGATCATCGTACTGGATCATTGGCGGACGACTCCCAGTACGATCCTATATTTATCATTGTATGAAATGTGCTCGTTTACGTGGCGAACGAGCGAAGCAGTTAATGGGTCAATTGCCGTTGTCAAGAATCACTCCAGCCCGACCATTTGCCGTCTGTGGTGTGGATTACGCTGGTCCCATCACGCTAAAGACTTGGAAAGGCAGAGGCGCCAAAACATCTAAGGGTTGGATGTGCATTTTTGTGTGCTTCGTTACTTCTGCGCTTCATGTAGAAATTGTAACAGATTATTCAGCAGACTCATTTATTGCAGCGTTCAGAAGGTTCACTGGACGTCGAGGTGTCTGCAGAACTCTCCACAGTGATTGTGGCACCACATTTCAAGGCGCAGACACGCTCATCAGACAACTCTTCAAGCAGGGGACTCAACAGTTCAGTCAACTCGCAGCTGTATTTGCAAAGGATGGAACTGATTGGAAGTTTAACCCACCAGCTGCACCACACATGGGAGGAAAATGGGAAGCTGCAGTCAAATCAGTAAAGTTCCATCTTAACAGAACGATAGGCGACTCACTCTTTACATATGAAGAGCTTTCCACACTGCTTGTCCAGATAGAAGCAGTCCTTAACTCCAGACCACTCGAGCCTCTCTCAGCCGACTCTACAGACATCTCAGCGTTGACTCCAGCACACTTCTTGGTTGGTGAACCTCTAGTAACATTACCAGAGCCTTCACTGAAAGATGTGCCAATGCCACGCTTGTCCAGGTGGCAATTTATTCAGCAGCGACTCCAATCGTTTTGGTCAACGTGGTCAACACAATACCTTCAGCAGCAACTTGCCATTTCCAAGTGGAAACACCCCGCTCACAACATCACAGTCGGCTCACTTGTACTACTCACTGACGAGAGGTTCCCACCAACGAAGTGGCCTCTCGCCAGAGTGATTGAGGTGTTCCCAGGATCAGACGGACTCATCAGAACAGTCAAACTCAGGACAGCAACAGCAGAGCTCATCAGACCACTCACCAAACTAGTCATCTTACCATACACTCCACCAGCAGAAGATCAGCAAAGGCGTTGCTGATGGTGGGACAATGTTCTGACTGGGAGGGGCCCAAGTCAGTTAGTCAGAAATATTCAAAAATTGTTAATGCCGGACTTGTCCACCGGCGCGTCAGTCAACTCACTGGACCAATCATCGGGAAGTTTTTCCCTCATGGCCCAGACGGCAACTCTACGGCCCTAGTGACGCCAACAAGCACGCGGTCGAGTACTTGTGGCGTCAGTTAGCTCTAGGCAAATCACGCGGTCAGCTCTGTACAAGTTTTCGCAGTCAAATCGCAGATTTTTCAGTCAGCTCACCTTTTGTAGTTACAAGTACGGTCAAATAGACTCAGACAACTCTCACGAAGATACGTGAATCATCAAATTACTCTCATCAGTGCCAGTGGTCCAGTATATTCAGTTTGTAGTGTCGTTGGGCGCGAAGCTGAACTGGCGTCGACGCCATAGTGCCTCACGGACATTCACCTATACATCGCTCCCCCGAATAACTCTGGTGTATACTGTGAATGTTGCTATTCACTGTTTTTTGAGACTCTGTTATTTGGTGACAAAATAACCATCAGACAACTCAGAAGTGTATGAACAATTAATGTACAGTCAATTCACCTAAACTTAGTGATTAAGAATTTCTATTGTTTAAGTTAAGTGTTATTGTTGAATAAAAACTATAAAACTCAAGCAGTCTGTGTTAAAAAACTATATTTTTGAACCTTCTAGCATCCAACCTTTTGTTCTTATTCTGCTCTTAATTCATACAGTCCACTAGTTTTCAGTTTGCTCATTCGGCCGACTCGAAGTCAGAACAACATTTATTGATTATTTTTATTTTTTTTTCCGTTTTCTACGATATCCTCAAAAGCAGCTACGACAGCATCAGAAGGAACATATGCTAATGCAAGCAGTAAACGTATATTCAAGGTAAATGTAACGTCAGTATTATATATTTTTTGGAATCCACATGACTGCACATGTCTCCAGACACATTGTGAAAAATGAAAATTACAACCAGCGATTTTGGTCTCAGGGAAACAGTCTTTAAATGCCTTAATAAATGTAACTTTGAAATTAATTATCATCCGAGTAGGTGAGAACAAGGTCCGTAGATAGAGGGGATGATGACCAAGTAAGGTCTTCGCACTCGTATCTCACATAAAATCCCCAAAATGGCCGACTTGAAAAACAGCGGTAGAATGTGAGGTTATAAAATTGTTTATTATGAGAAAGAGTACTGTTAATTTAGAGTCATTGAACAATTTAAATCCTTTATTCAAAGAAAAAAATATATTTAAAAACAAAATTCATTTTGTGAATGTTAACAAATATGTTTAATATAAAATAGACATTATTTAAAAAGTAATACAACATTTAGGTCCATATAATGTATAAACTGTAACTCACAAAATGAAACAATATAATTGTAGATCTTTTTGATCAACAAAAGTAACATTAAAAATAATTTTTTATTAATAAAAACAATATATTTAATTATCAGCATAAATAATATTGCTCACTTATCATTGCTACTTATAAACTAAATGATGGATTGCCTTTGAGCACCTTTTGATCCAAAACTTTTAAATCTTGATTCCTTCTGTCTTTTTGATTGTTCCTTAACAAATATAATTTGTCGGATATAAATATATCGATTTATTTTCCACGAAATAGCAAGATCCACCTGTTTCAATTGCACTACATCTTGTGATGCCATATTTTTCGAAAGGAACCCAAACTTTAATCATTTCCACTAAACGGTTGTTGATGCTTCTTTCTCCATTATGCCTAAAGTGATTAAAGTTTCCAATGCTGCTGCGGTTTTTAAGCTAAAGATATGCTGCTGCAACATTCATCTTGTTGAACCCTGTTGGGTTTATAATGTCGCTCGTGATGTGTGGAGCAAGCTTTAAATCTTTACATCGTGATTGCACATCATACAATTGCTTTAAATAGCGAAAACGGATTTCATTGCATGGCAAATGATTAGCTTCAACAATACATCAAGCTAACGTAAAATATTCATTGTTGATAAATGCCATTCTCAAATTCTTCAATAAATGAGGACAATCCGGGAATATGTATAAATTATAATTCCTTCGCACTGAAAGAGTAATGTATGGTGTATCGTTGTTCCTGTTGACTCGTATTCCGAGTCTTCTCCAAATGGCTTGATTTTTTGGTCCCATGTCAGAAACTAGACCATGAATCCTGTATCCTACAGCTTCTATCTTATTTATCAATTCCTTTATCAAGTCAGTCGTGGCATCATCATCAGCTGATTTAGTTGTTAAATGCCAGCCAATAATTTGTTTCCAATTGCTGATCAAACCTCTTAGCATCACGACTACGATACATGTGCTCATAACTTGCTTTTCCTTGCAAGTCTCAAATCCAATGAATGATCCTAAAAAGAACGTAGGAGAAAATTATAAATTAACATCATTCTTTTAAGACAGGATTTATTGCAAGAATAGTATCATATATACAAAATCAAATGAATTATTTCCAATTCATAAAGTAGCTCGTTATATACAAGTTATTAACAACTCAAATATATCCAAAACTATATATTATATAGTAAATCCATTACCAAAACATAATACGTTAGTTATTATTATGTTACATACTTTCATCTGCCTTCATAATGTGATGATTTGACAGAATTTTTCAAATTATGAAATAGTCGATTTCACATATAAATATATAAAAGTATGGAGGTCATGTC